AAATGTATTTACCGAAATATAATAATTGAATTAATGTATCTAAAAGTCGATACTCAAATGTGTGTACCAAAGTGTACGTAACGAAATACATTATATTGACCGAAATGCATTATGTTGAATCAATGTAACTACATGTTTGTACCGATGGATATACCAAAATATTCAAATGTATTAATGTACCTAAATAAAGAACATACAAAATTGTTATCGGAATATATATTATAAAAAAATTAGTTGCCTAAATGTAGACATTAAAATATATTATGATGAATGAAATAAAAATTAAATTTAAATGTAATTAATACATTAAAATAAAAATAAAAGGATAAAATAAAACATCAAAATACAACTAATAAATGATATGATTAAATGTGCTAGGGACTAAAATTAGATTTTAATCTTACATATGGTTATAATCTAAAACTCATCTTTTTTAAGGATTAAAATAAAGTTTTCTACAAAATTAATCGTTATTATGTCCTTAGCAAATGGTAATTGTTCATAGAAGTCTAAAACCCCATTGATGGATTTGCAAGACCCCTCAGATTGCAACCACCAATTGAAAATGACCTATAAGGATTAGAAGTACATCTAGTCAAGCAAAAAAAAACCCATCGAGGTCAAATCTCCTGCTTATTTTCTGTGTGAATTTTCTATAGCTTCTATCATTGATTGACGCGTGTTAAATTCATAACAATAAGATAAATGAAATTTAAGTTTGTTATTATGTGTCAATCCAAAATAGAGACCATATAAAGATCACACACAAAATACATGCAGAAGATTTGAACTCAAATTGTCTATGCCAAAACACAAGCACGTTTTCCACATGCATTTTCCCACCCACAGTGTTGTACGAGACTATGAGTATACAAAGCACTTGTATAATACTTCGGTTTCACAAAAATCTATAACCTCCACTCATTGCCATCGCCATATTTGCACGACCCATAAGTTTGTAATAATTCACTTTTGGCAATTCAACCATGTGCTGTCCCTTCTGCTTTTCCTTTGATTACTTACTCCATTATCTTCCCTTTACATTTTGCCTTTTTCCATCATGCATATTGGGTCTGTAAAGGCCACGCTCAGTTGGAATGTTTCTATAGGACTAATTAAGTCAACTCTATAATTTTAAGTATCATCTCAACATAATCCCTTATTAAGACCTCATGATCAAGGATTTGCCTTAAAATTCTGGACCGATGAGAGAGTGAGTATCGTGAAACATTTCCTCTTTTATGTTGCATTCGCCTACTGTAAAATAACGCTAGTCGACTCTCATCCTACAAACGATCTTGCATGTAGTTATAACCCGAAAATAGGAATGCATGAAAACTAATCTCTGGCCTTGTTAACTAAACATGTTTAGATGAATGGTCCAAATAATTAAGCTTGACGCGAAAATAAACGATTATATAACCATATGTCTGCAAGTTTAAAATGTATGTGGTCCGTTTTGCTTGACAAACCAACACATAACAAGACACACATATATATATATATATATATATATATATATATATAAAAGTAATATTTGTTTTGTAAAAAGTTTGTCCATAAACTATTACAAGTGAAGCATGACTTAATGTGCAAAAGTGATAATTTTTACCATAAAGAGGTTGGTTTGTAGTGGTGAACCCACTAAAATTTGTTTAAATTCTCCTGATTAGGCAAAGAAAAAACAAACTGTGATGCCAGTGGATAATCACACTTGTATTTGATTTTGTAATTCCTAAAAAAATTGTGTTCAGAGTAAATTTTAATATGTATGGTTAAAAATTGGGAGATGATAGTCCTATTCTCTTAAGATCATCGTTTGAAGATCTGTGGGTACCAAATGCATATTAGCCACAATATTATACTAGTTTAGATCGAAAGGCTTCTTCAACTTGTCAAATAATTTTAGCATTTGAATCTAAACTAATATAATCATGTGGCTAATATGCGTTTGGTCCTCACAGGTCCTTCAAAATAAAGATCTTAGAAGAGGACTCTGGCAGATGATCTTTTATGCCAGCTTTTTTTTCAGTTTTGAAAAATAAATAAATAAACCATGTACTCCATATACCTTTGATCCTTGGTTTGCCCCATCGAACCATTTTCATTTGCTTTCATTTATTTATAGCCCGTCTATTCTGAAGAAAAGTTGATCCATCAACTGATGAGGCTCCACGCACTACACATTTTTTAGTGCAGCTGCTTATATAAATACTTAAGTTGAACAAATTTTTTTTTGTTGGTATTATGTAGCAACTGCACTAAAAATATTCCCATTATATATTTATAATGGTTTGGGATGGTATATCCTACTCCACTAGAGCATGTTCTATTCTCCCCCCCCCCCCTTTTTTTTTCCTTGAGTTTAAATTTTCTGCACTCAAAATTTTATATGGCCTTTTATGACTCTTTTTTTTGGTCAATCTGTGACTTATTTCATTTGTTGATACTTGATCAATCATTTAAATCATAAAAACATATGTCGCTCAAATAAATAGGTCACAGAGAAACCACAGAGAATTTTGAGTGCAGCAAATTTGAACTATTTTTCGTCCAGCAGTTTCTTCCCTATTTGTCAGGTAATAAAAGTAGTGTGTGTGACAAATATATGCCTAAGATTTGATTGTTACCAATTTTTTGGGAGTTTAATGGCACTTGCTAGAAACTATAAAAATTTCTCCTCTACTTTTTCAATAGATCACTTTACATCATCTTTGTCATTCCCCTTTTGCAATTGGGATTCTTTTTTTTTTTTTTCCTGATGTCCCCGAAGGGACACAATTGGGAATCCTTAGCTTTACCTCAATTACTTTATTGTATGCATTTCTGCTGTTGACTTGACCTAAGTAAGGATTATATTGTTTTAGTTCATGGCGATACTCACTTAAGCCTCTAAGAGCAAGTTTTAAAATGCATTGCTTATACAACGGCTCACCACGTTGGATTGAAGTAGTCGTTGGGAATGAAAGGACCAGATTGCCCCATGTGGCTTGAAGACGTTAAGCTTGTATTCTGCATTAATAGGCTTCATGTGTCATCCTATTGTACCAGATTAGATCGTAAAAGACGTGCTTAACAAAATAATAATAATAATAATAAGGGTGGCGTCATGCTAATGCCATCTCATCCTCGAGCTGCAGCTCGAGGTGTGGGCCTTGTGCATTGCCAAGGCACTTTAGCCTTGGTAGAGGAAGCTTTTGGATTTTAGACTGATTCTAGAGCTTTTGCTACATGATTGCTTAGCATGCATGAATAATGACGTATTGCACCGTTGAGCAATTAGTGGCCTGGATATTGTTATGGCTACGGCAAAGAATCTTCTCTTCTTGTTCACACAAAAAACATATAGATCTTCGCAACTTTGGATTTGAAATTATTTTGTTGAAAAGCTATAGAAACAATTTTGGCCGCCTTGAAAAAACTTTATGCAAATTTTAAGTTGGAGGTAATGCGGGTTGATTTAATATAGATCAATCTACACAATGGTACCCTCAGATCTTTTTTCATGGAAGAGAAGAATTCGAATTTGAGTCCTTAGTTTTAAGATATAGGTTACTTGGTTTTTACATTTTAATTTATTTAAATTATGATCTAACTGTTGGTTTGAAGTTGACAATTAAAGAAGGAGCACTCGAACTTGAGTTTTTAGTTTTAAGATGTAGAGCTAGTTTTTATTCTTTGGTTCAAAATCATATTTAACTGTTGGTTGGGTGTTAGTGCTATTGTGTGTGCGCTTCTGCCTTCTGGTAACCAAGTAGGGATTATCATCGTTGTTTGTTTGTGCGAATTACCTCCAGATCAAGTATTTGGTCATTAAAAATTATCTCGTGTGACAACCTTTGTAACTGTTATTGTTATCGTTATTAATGAAAAATTGATGTTTCTTGTAAAAAACATAAAAATAAATTTGAGGCGAGTTATAAAGCGTGAAACATGATATTCTGATTAGGTAAAGATGGGCCAACGTGCCTCCAACCAACCAAAAGGGTCTTACCCCATTACCTCCTTTTCATGTTTCAAAGAAAATGGAAGCAAGAAAAGAATTAGCTTAGCCATGTGGTTTGGTATCATGGACTGCCTTGCTATGGTTGGTAAAGTATATACCAATTTTAAAGAGAGAAAAATTGATACCCAAAGAAGTACAAAGTTTGCAATTCAAGTGATTTAACTTTGTGTTTTATATTTTAGGGTTTTTAAAGCATTTATTTTTTAATTTTTAGTTTTAGTGACCCGTTTGATAATCATTTAAATTTTTAGTTTTTTTTTTCTTTCTGAAAATGAAAAATATGTTTGGTAATTTATTTTACTTTTTAGTTTCAAACAAAATGAAAACTAAAAACTAAAAATTGAAAGTTATATTTTGAAAACTAAAAAATGTAAGTTATGTTGCAGTCCTAAATTCATTAGGAGTGTAATTATGTAAATCCTAGTATATTATGTATAAAATTTTATCTTCTCTCTGTCCTTGACACTGGCCCTCTCCCTCTCTTTTTCCTCAATAAAATAGCACTACAATATAAATTAAAATGAAATGTTTATCAAGCAAAGAATTTAAATTCGATATAATAAGGAATAAAAAGGAAAAAAGAACTAAATGATTAGGAAAAATGAGGGTGCAAATTGTAATAACAAATTATGAAGAAGAAATAGATAGAAACAAGGGGTGAAAAGAAGAAAAAAAAGTGAAGGAAAAAAATAATACTAAAGAGACCAAAAATTTAAATTAATTTTACGAACCAAATAATGTGTCATCAATAAAAAATAAACACGTTAATTAATTTAATAATTCACTTATTAACATTCATATCATTTAATTTATAAAATAAAATTTAAAAATTTGATCACGTTAGCATTACCGGAAGAAAAATAAGGAGTGATGAGTAAGAGAGCATTATACTATTCCTTTTCGGTGGGTTTTTTATTTTTTTGGCAAAAGTCGCCTTATTCCTCTCTCGTTAAAATTTATCAAATGCTTAAATACAAACCACAAAACCCCATAATTTCAGACTCACCATGTGTTGTATGCACAAAAACATAGCTCAACTCTCACGCGCCTCCCATCTCTCGTCCCCCTCTCTCTTCCCCACTCTCTCACACATAAACAGAGAGGAAGAGAGAGACTGTAGGAAGAAGCAAACGTTTTCTCACTTCACTACCTGCCTGTCGTTTTTGTTGCATCGAAAAAGAAACGGAAGTCACTTCTCTCTTCTCTCTCTTTTCTCCCTTTAAAATCTCCTTCTTTTGCATTTGGGTTTTTGCTCACCAGCTGACGAGCAAACATGTTTCACCAGCCGAATCTAGAGCTACCCATTTCATGGTTTTCTACCATTTGAAGGAAATCTTGTGCTTTTTTTACCTTTTGCTTCGTTTAAGGAGGGTTGGTCGGTGAAAGGTCAAATTTTGTTCGGCTCGTTTGTTTTTCGCAGCTGTCATATATTGAATCTCTGAACAAATCTGAGGGAACCCATTTGGCCGGTGGCGGTGGAGGAGGCGGGATTCGAATAAAGGTGCGTGCTTTGTTAGATTTTGTTGCAGGAAATTAGTTTTTCTCTGCTTTTGTTTTTGTGGTTTTTTTTTATTTTTTTTATTTTTGTGCCATTGATGTCAGGTGGAAATATAGTTTGTTGATGTATTGTTATCTGGTTTTGTGGCGATATTGTGATGTTTTGATTGATTGGTATCCATGGACTAATAGCTCTTCATCTAACATTATAAAACAAATTGCAAGTCACAAATCTCTCCTAGGGTTTGATTTCTTTGAAAAAACACAAGTTTTTGCTTTGAAATCTGATTAAAAAATTCCCTTTTTTATTTTGTTGCTTTTGCTTTGGATGTGGGTTGTAAACTATGCTGCTGAAAAGTGTTGATTTTCTGATTTCTTCACTGGGTATGCATTTCGGTTTGATATTCTTCTTTGCATCATTGCATGCGATCTTATATGTGGTTGATTGGTTGTGTAACTGATTTTTCTGTTTTGGCATGAGATAAAATTTCTGACATTTGCAAGATTTAATGATGTTATGCTGCATTCTCTGTCATGTCTGTAATTTTGAAGATATGGGAGTTTCTTTTCGAATTTCGGGTATTCAATTACCAAGACCGTCTGTACTTTCTGGCTGCATCTACTGTCCTTTCCTTTGTTTTACCTTTCAAATGGAGTGTTTGAAGGTTTACCATGGCATTTCTTATAGAATGAATATTGATTTGGATTCTGGATAATGAATCTTTGCTGTGGGAATAACGAATAAAAATCTTGGAAGGTGAATAAATTTCTGCTTATGTGTAGCCTTTTAATTAGTCGGAATCATGTTTCGTTCCCCTTATGTGATTATATAATTTGTAATTAATAAAGGTAGGGAGAGCAGTATTGTCTGCTGATTATAGTGTCTTGAATCAGTCAGTCACAATTAGATGAGAGAGTTAATATAGCTGACATCTGGAGTTGATATGCCATCTTTGATTCCTCAATTTTGAATTGGTCTCAGTCTCCGACTTTGTATTGGTTTAGACCACAGGTTTCATAACCAATATTGTTACTGATGCTAATCTTGCGATCGCTAACTTGAGTAGTCTAACAGTAATGCAAGAGATTCTCATTTAACATAATTTGGTGTATTATATTTTCTAGATGAGATTTTTTTGTATTATAATTGTGTCCAGGTTCCTTTCACTTTACTCCTTTTGATCATGGAGGGAGAAACATCGTGGTTTAGCCATCCCTTTGATAACATGGCAAGAGGGACTACAGAGTATGATGCATTCTCGGAGCTCAGTGATGAAGGAAATAGAGAAGCTAATGCAGTTTCAGTGGATTTGATACTTCCTGATGACCTGTTGGAACGGATATTAGCGTATCTACCAGTTGCAAGCATTTTCAGAGCACGTAGTGTGTGCAAAAGGTGGCATGAAATTCTTAGTTCAAGAAGGTTTCTGTGGAACTTTTCGAACGTGCTATCTCAAAAACCTTGGTATTTTATGTTTACAAGTTCTAATGATCCAACTGGTTATGCATATGATCCTATCCTCAGAAAGTGGTATGGTATTGAGCTCCCCTGTATTGAGACATCCAATTGGTTAATTGCGTCATCATGCGGTTTGGTTTGCTTTATGGACAATGAAAGTAGAACTGAGTTATATGTCTGCAACCCTATTACCAAAACATGCAGGAAGCTTCAGGAGCCCCCTGGCTTGAGATTTTCTGATTACAGTGCACCAGCAGTTTCCGTTAACAGGAAGTCACATGGTTATACTATCTCAATTGTGAAATCTAAGCAAGTTGCTGGAAATTTTTTCCAATGGGATGTGTCCATTCATATTTATGATTCAGAAACAATGATGTGGGTGACCTCTTTGACAGAGGTTCTGACAGGATGGAGAGGTGGAGATGAGAGTGTAATCTGTGACGGGGTTTTGTACTTCTTGATTTACTCAACTGGGGGTGGGTCACCAGACAATCGTCATGGCCTAATCACATATAATTTATCTGCTTGTTCTACCCATGGGTTGTTGATACGCAGTATAATTCCTGTACCTTGCTCTCTTACATGTGGCCGTCTGATGAACTTGAAAGAGAGGTTGGTTATGGTGGGAGGGATTGGTAAACAAGATCGGCCTGACATAATTAAGGGGATTGGTATCTGGCTTCTAAAGGGGAAAGAGTGGCAAGAGATTGCACGAATGCCTCACAAGTTCTTCCAAGGGTTTGGGGAGTTTGATGATGTTTTCGCCAGCAGCGGCACAGATGATCTCATATACATTCAGAGCTACGGATCTCCTGCTCTTCTTGTATTTGACATGAACCTGAGGCATTGGAGATGGTCCCAGAAGTGCCCTGTAACAAAGAGGTTCCCACTTCAGCTCTTTACTGGTTTTTGTTTCGAACCGAGGCTCGAAATTTCTCCTTGATTGTGTGGATTGATAGGATGTGGTGGTGGCATTACACCAATTTGTCTGAATTTCCTGTGTTTCACCCTCGTTTTCTTTTCCCATTAGTTTCCAGTTAGCACATGTGTGTTCTAAAAGTTGTATACATATAATGTACCCGCAGATAAAAAGCTGCTTATTCATGGTTATGGCTATATTATTCTTTCAATTGGAATTTGTCTCTAGTAAATTCAATCTTATGAATTCCTGACATGTAATTTATAAACCTTTTAGATTTGGGTCTCTTGTGTGGGGAATTCCATCATACAATTGGGGATTATATCTACGCTTTTTATCTCATATTACGTGACGTGAGAGAGAGATTTAGAGGGGGATATTTTTGAGATTGTCTGCGTATGACAGATAAACATTGTCTGAACCGGTAGGTCAACAAAAATTTGATCCGTAGATGGTTTAGACATTATTTATATATCATACGTGTTTGTAGATATGACGGAATTTCCCTACATATGTGAGGGGGGCACATTGATTTCTAGTGTCCCTTTCAAGTTTCAATCACGCCCATGGTTTTGAAGATGTTTTCCTAGCCAAGGAAATTGGTCAATTTCTGGCAATGAGCCAATAACAGAAGCTTCCATGTTTCAGCAGATTTCCTCTTGTTTTATCTTTTTGCAAATTCACTTGTTTTCAACGTAAAAATAATTGAGAATCTGATTAGGCACTTAAAAAGTGGAGATTAACAGGGAAGCTTGTGTTTGCCTTGTGTGGGTTGGTTGAGAAGTGACGAAGATCGACACTCTGGTTTTAAAATTCTAATTTTAATAGAGGTAGATTTTGCTTGGTGGACATGTGACTATGGAAGATTGTGTTTTATGAATCCATGCTGCTTTTTTTCCCTGTGGCCCGAAGACTTGTGCCACTACCAAATATTTTAAAGAAAAGGATTTTTTTATTGAAATGCCTTGGGTTTTCAACGAATCTTAATGTTATGATTTGGAAACCGGTATCGTATTCTTTATGTACTTAAGTTTGAATTATTTCTTTGCAGTTTAGCGGAATATTGCTATTGAAAAATAAAAAATTTCTAAATGGATCGACATCTCCATAGCTGTATGTTTTGTATGTCTCTATAATTGCCTTCACTCAAGTTCAAAATTTTTTTGGATATTACAATTTTATATGTTTAAAATTATTCACTTTATGTTAATGATATTGATTTGTTCAAATAGAAGTGGGGGCAAGTTGACTAAATTAGGATTAAAAACATCCAATGAGATCATTACAATCAATAAGCCAATATGCCATGGCTTGGGTGGCACCAATTAGGTTAACTACTTATTTTCTTGTCTACTTTTTGTAAAAATATCTAATGCTCCATTCAGGCGATGACAAAAAACTTTCTTTTTTCTTTTTTAATAATTAAAACAAAACGTCTCGTCAGATTTTATGATACAACCAATATTGATAAAAGAAAAAATCAAATACAGAATTTGGAATGCAGAGATGTATACTCTTAATTACTTGACATGCAAGCAATTTGCAGTTACATGGCTATTCTAAGAACATGCATCCATAGAAGTTTATAATTGTATTCAATGAAAAAATCAAGGAAGAATATACATTCTCGTGATTTGTATCCAAAAATCAATTAAAATTTGAAAAATTTGAATTATGAGATTACGAAACATAATTTTTTTTATTAGATCAATACTTCTAATTGAATAAGTACGAGTAAAGGATCCATGGATAAAGATGCTCTCCGTTTCCCTTGTAGTCTATCTAAAAGGTTGGCAATGTCTTTGCTTGGAGGCTAGTGTAAGAGAAGAATCTAAACACAAAGTCATTTAGATGAAGTTCTATTTTTGTCGAATTGCTTTGGTGGATATGGTCTTTTTAATTAATTCACTGCGTTTCGGGTATAACCTCTTTTTTCCCCTTTCCATTAGTATAGCTTCAAATATTAATAGGGAAATTTTATTTGGACCCAAAGTTTTTCTCTCTACACCCAACTAATATTTTCTCTCGATTAAACTTCCGAATTTGTCCTTAAACAAATAAAAATAAATAAAATTTAAGTCTAAATTGGATCCCTACACCCAATAAACCCCATCGCCACCATTGCACGCCTCCGTTATTTCTGACGAATCCAACCTAAACCCCATCAACACTTAAATCAACAAATTAAGAGTGAAGGAGTCCCAATGTGAGGCTTAAAGCAAACTTAAGCTGCAAAATAAAGAGATATCATATAGTTAATAGATTTTACAGCTGTATTTTTTGGTTTTACAGTCTTGTAACTAATCTCTATGTTAAGAGATTAAATTAAGTATAATTAGTTACTAAGCCTAATTAGACAAATGTATATAAACTGAGTTGTATTTTCTTTCTCATTAAGAAAAGATATAATAAAAGATCCTCTTTTCTTATATGGTATCACCGCCTTTCTGCTTTACCGCTTCTCGATCCTTCGATCTCAGTTTTTCGGCCACCGCCACCGCCACCGCCACCACCTCCGCTTCTTAATCTTCTTCGTTCTTTGCGCTTCAGTCATGGCATCTTCGACTTCTCCTATACAACCTGATTTTGTTCCTTCTCATCCTGCAAATTCTTTCCCCAATTTTGCATCGATGAACCCTAATTTCTCTAATTCTTCTTCGATCTCGTCAATTTCTTCCATAACTGTTCAGAATATTAGCTGCATGGTTCCTACAAAGCTCAAGCGTGATAATTACCTCGTCTGGAAAGCTCTATTTGCTCCGATTTTCCGACGATACAAACTGACGGGCATTGTTGATGGCTCTGAAGTTTGCCCGCCGTCTTATGTTCTTGATGCATCTGGTCACAATATTCCGAATCCGGCGTTCGAGATTTGGTATGAAAAAGATCAGAATATCTTGATCTGGTTGAATTCTACGCTTTCTGAAGATATAATTCCATTCACCGTTGGTGTCACATCGGCTCGAGATCTATGGCTGAATCTTGAGCATCGATTTGGTGGAGTCTCTGCCGCTCATATCCATCAACTTCGTTCTCGCCTTCACTCTGTTCACAAGGGCGATCTCTCTATTTCTGATTATTTGCAGAAGATTAAAGGCCTTGCTGATTCGTTAATGGCTGCTGGAGCTCCTGTATCTGACCATGATTTGATTGCTGTTACTCTCAATGGATTGCCTGATGAGTATGAGTCTTTCATTGACTCTATCATGCTCCGCCTTTCGACCACAACATTAGATGAACTTCATGGATTGCTGCTCAACAAGGAGGTCTTTATGCTTCGCAAGAAAAAAGGTGTCAATTCTTCTGCTTCTGAGCCTTTTCAAGCTTTTGCTACGCAGTCTCAACCTCCACTTCTTCCTACACCACAGTTCTACAATTTTCCTCAAGCCTATGCGGCTCATCAGTCATTCTCCAATCCTCCACCAAAGTTCTCCAACAATAATCGTGGTCGCGGTTCTTTCCAACGCCGTGGTAATGCTAAGAATTTCAATGCTTCTCGTGGTCATTTTTCCAATTCTGGAGGTCCTCATGGCAATTACAGGAACAACTATGTCAATCGCAATACTTCTGGTGGTAATCGCAACAGTTTTGGTGGCCGCACTTCTTGTCAAATTTGCAACTCCTTTGATCACGAAGCTCTGGATTGCTATGAGAGAATGAACCCTGCTTTTGCTGGCCGAATTCCTCCTGCAAAGTTAGCTGCTATGTGTGCTCACACTGGTTCTAAACAGTCTCCTACTCCTTGGTTGATGGACTCGGGTGCCACCTCTCATATCACTAATGACATTTCTGCTATCCAATCTCCACATCCGTACTCTGGCGAAGACAAAGTGTATATTGGTGATGGACAAGGTATGGCAATCCATCACACTGGTAATTCTACAGTTTCAACACCCCTTGCTAATTTCAGATTGAGTAACATTCTTCATGTTCCACTGATGAAATTTAATTTGCTCTCTGCTTATCAATTCTTGAAAGATAACTATTGTTCTTTGACCCTTGATTCTGATGGCTCTGAAATCAAGGATCGTTCTTCGGGGAGGACGCTTTTTCGCGGTCCAGTTAAAGAAGGTTTCTATCCCTTTCAAGGTCTCTCCAATGTTTCTGCTCCTCATTCTGCGCTCTTCAGTACCAAAGCATCGTTGCAAACATGGCATAAAAGACTTGGTCATCCATCTTCTGCTATGTTTCGGAGAATATTACATAAGCATAGTCTTGCTCCCAGTGGTGACAAACTTGTATCTTTCTTTTGCACCGATTGTGCTATAGGCAAGAATCACAAGTTGTCTTTTTCTTCTAGCACCAGTTCTGTTTCTACTAGTTTAGAATTGCTCCATTGTGATGTTTGGGGTCCATCTCCCATCTCTTCTGTCAGTGGCTACAAGTTCTACTTGTTAATTGTGGATGAGTTTACAAAATATACCTGGTTGTTTCCCATGAAATATAAATCTGAGGTGTTCTCTCTTTTTGTCTCCTTCAAAGCTTATGTTGAAAATATGACTGGCAATACAATCAAAGTCTTGAGATCCGATTCAGGGGGTGAATTTACTAGCTCGCAGTTCAATTCATTTCTATCTCGCTATGGTATTTTTCATCAGTATAGCTGCCCTCATACACCGGAACAGAATGGATGTGTCGAACGAAAGCACCGGCATCTCACAGAGACTGCACGGACTCTCTTGGCTTCTTCTCGCGTTCCCCATCAGTTCTGGGTTGAAGCTTTTTCCACTGCCCTGTATCTCATCAACCGACTACCAATCTCTCAACTGGACAGATCTCCCTGGGAACTTCTATTTCGTAAATCTCCTGATTATTCAAGATTAAAGGTCTTTGGCTGCAGCTGCTATCCTTGGCTTAAACCGTATACTTCTTCTAAACTGGATGGCAAAAGCACTCATTGTGTTTTTCTTGGTTACAGTCTTCAGCATAAGGGGTATCGGTGCTTAGATATTCAAACTCAGCGCATTTATATATCAAGACATGTGTTGTTTAATGAAGGACACTTTCCTTTTCATGATGCACAACATATTCAGCCTTCTTCAATGCCACAAGGTTCGGATTCTCCTTCTCCACCCTTCACTCTTCCATTTCCCATTTCTTCCCATGCTCCAGCATCATCTACAGCGTCACCAGTCCCTTCTTCATTCCCTGTTTCCTCTATGCCGTCTTCCTCTCAACCTTCTCCTCCACCTTCATCTTTACATTTGCCATCTCGTTCTTCCTCTTCACCTCAACCTCATATTCCTACCAACTCTCATCCTATGATTACCCGATCTAAAGCAGGTATTTTTAAACCTAAAGCACTCTCAGCAACCAAACATCCAATTGCTATGGAAAACTTTGTGCCTACTACTTATCTGCAAGCATCCAAACATGCTCACTGGAATCAAGCTATGTTAGAAGAATTTCAAGCTCTTCAAAGCACCGGTACTTGGTCTCTTGTCCCCTCTTCTCCTCATCAAAACATTGTTGGTTGTAAATGGGTATTTCGCATTAAGCGCAAATCCGATGGCACTGTTGATCGATACAAGGCCCGTCTTGTTGCCAAAGGGTTTCACCAACAAGAGGGCATTGACTTCAAAGAGACCTTCAGTCCTGTTGCTAAACCCGTGACTATTCGCATCTTATTGACTCTTGCTGTTCAACATGATTGGTTCCTAAATCAGCTTGATATTAGCAATGCCTTTTTGCATGGATTACTGAAAGAGGAGGTGTTTATGCAACAACCTCCTGGTTTTGTTGATGCTTCTCAACCTTCCTCTGTGTGCAAGCTCCACAAGTCTCTTTATGGCTTAAAACAAGCCCCTCGGGCCTGGTATGACAAACTTGGTCATGCACTGCTTTCCCTTGGTTTTATCAATTCCCAATCCGATTGTTCGCTGTTTGTGAATACCTCTCCTCATCTTGTGATTGTATTAGTTTATGTGGATGATATCATTGTCACCGGCCCCCATACTTCTTCTTGTCAAGCTTTCATTCACAAGCTCAGTTCCATGTTCCCTGTTAAAGATCTCGGGCCTCTCCACTATTTCCTTGGACTTGAAGTTCATCGCTCATCTGAAGGCATTTTCTTGTCCCAAGGCAAATATGCTATGGATCTGCTTCTTAAGACTAAAATGGAGGGCTGTAAACCTTGTGCCACTCCACTTGGCACTACCAAATTAGATCATCTCGGCACTCTGTTGTCTGACCCCAAGGAGTACAGGTCCATCGTTGGTGCTCTCCAATATCTCACCTGGACCCGGCCAGATATTTCTTTTGCTGTCAACCAAGTGTGTCAATTCCTTCATTGCCCCCGAGATACTCACTTCCAAGCAGTCAAACGTATTCTACGGTTTCTCAAGAGTACTGTTGATCACGGTATCTGGTTTAAAAAAGGTTCTCTGCACCTTACTGCTTTCTCGGATGCTGATTGGGCTGGCTGTGTTTTTGATAGACGTTCAACATCCGGTTATTGTGTTTACTTGGGTTCAAATCTCATCAGTTGGAGTGCTAAAAAGCAGCCAACGGTTGCTCGATCTTCAACTGAGGCTGAATACCGCTCTCTTGCTCTTACTGCTGCTGAAATCACATGGATTTGTAAGATCTTCAAAGATCTTACTTTTCCTCTCTCTCACCCTCCTACCTTATGGTGTGATAATGTGTCTGCTATTTCTTTAGCTTCTAATCCTGTGTTTCATGCTCGTACGAAACATATTGAGATTGATTATCACTATATCCGGGAGCTTGTTCTTGCAGATCTTATCACAGTTTTGTATGTCAACACTGAGCTTCAGATTGCTGACATCCATACCAAGTCTCTGCCTAAGTCCCGGTTTCATTTTCTCCGATCCAAGCTTTCTCTGGGTGCTCCACCGATTAGCTTGAGGGGGTGTAAAGAGATATCATATAGTTAATAGATTTTACAGCTGTATTTTTTGGTTTTACAGTCTTGTAACTAATCTCTATGTTAAGAGATTAAATTAAGTATAATTAGTTACTAAGCCTAATTAGACAAATGTATATAAACTGAGTTGTATTTTCTTTCTCATTAAGAAAAGATATAATAAAAGATCCTCTTTTCTTATACAAAAGTCATTCTTTCTTTCAATCACCATAAGAACTTTGGACCAAGAACATAAGAAACCTTAGGGTTTAGCGATCCCCTCCGTACCATATGCATACGCACTTTTTTCTTCATATATTGATTTACAAAAAGTAAATTAATACTATTATTCTCATGAAAAGTGGGAAAGAGATCCCTCCACCCGGCTTCTTTTTATTTTCCGATTAGTTAGATCCAAAGAGATAGAAAACAAGAGCATTAATGTAGTGGTGATGTGAGTTTAGGTTATTGGGTGTAGAGATAAATATTTCAATACTTCTTTTCTGATTCTTATTTATTTAAGGGCAAATTTAAAAATTTAGTGGGAAAAATTTGTTAATTGAGTGTATAGATAAAAAAGTTGAGTTCAAATAAAATTTCTCATATTAATATCGTTTGTAACAACAAGTGAGGGCATAACAGTCAAATGAAAATGGACCGTTAGGAAGTTTTGTTGGGGGGGGGGGGGAAGGGTACGTCTTGTACCAGACGCGAACGCATTCCAAAAACGGCTATATCGGTAGTTCGATCTTTCCTTGGCGCGTAAAAGTGCAGTGAATCAATGAGTCCGATGGGCAATCCTCCTCCTAGCCTCTCTGTCATAACTAAAACCCGAGTTTTAAAACTGATGACGGAGACGACGACAGCACAAGCTCAAAAGTTGGACCTGAAAAAAAACGAGAACCTTTTCTTCTCTGGAAATTCTTGGATTTCGAAACAGGGTTTCTGACAAAGGTAAATCTTTGCCCAAACAGTGTTGTTTTTGGTAGGTTTTGTTTGGGGTTGGTGATTTGTCAGGGATACTGAAGGCAAAGGTTGCCTTTGGGTTTTAATGTTTGGGTAATAACTGCTGGGTTTGTTTGGAGTCATGTTTTTCTAGGCTTTTTCACTTTTGGTTGGTAGATTTTGTAGCTCTTTGTTTAGTAAATGTCAGATACAGGAAGATTCAATTTGCAAATTTGCATCAATTTTGTACTTTATTTATATATATTTTTTTTGGTTCATTGAACGAGTCTTGATTATTTACGTTGTTGATGCACAAAACCGAAGAGGTCTTGGAACAACGTAAATCCGACCGTGAATCTGCAAGAAAGTAAAGAACACAAGATGTATCGTGGTTCACCCCAATGTTTGGGCTACGTCCACACTGATATTGTATTTATCTGTTTGTGAGAGGATTGTGAGGGAGAGAGAGCTTCTCAGAGAAAGATAGAGTTTGAGAGAGCTCTCTGTTTGTGAGGATGAGAGCTTTAGGTTTGTGAGGGTGAGGAAGCCCTTTTATAGAATAAGAGTTCTTCACTTATTACATATTTGCCCCTTCATTTATTACATAATTACACTTGAGTCTCCCAAGTATTTATACGAGGTCTAAATACGGAGGTCCTAAGTATGGTACAAACATATGTAATCTTTTTGGTTTCAGTTAAAAATGATCAAAATGAAAAGAAAATACGGGTGGTTCGTTTGACAATCTTGTGATACTGCTCTTTTCAATGGGGATATAAATCATTATATGATAAGTAGTGTACAAGTTCGCAGCTAATTAAATTTTTGACTGAAACTTTGAATGAAAGGCTAGGCTGTTGATTAGTCTTTGTGGACGAAACAGAAAAACAGATGATAGTTCTCATCTTATGTTAATTGTTTATGGTCATGCGTCGTGTATATGTTTCATGACTTTGTAAGTTGTCGACAATACAAGATCATTTGTGTCATAAATATTCTCTTGCTGAACTGTGAATACGAACTATTGTGCGCCGTTGTGTCTATGCTTTGCGAAAATGAGTTAGAAATTCAAGTATGGCTGACGGATATAATAATCAATTCTGATTACATCTTTGTTGTAACATGTGATGCTAATATATGAGGCTAACAAACTCAAAGTGTAACATTGTCTACTTAGAAATGCTGATCCAATAAGAACTAGTCCGCAGGGCGATACATGGAGCTTCTGCAAGAAGAGCTTTCACCAGATGACTTCAAAGCTACTAAAACAAACCGTATTAAGTATACCAGGCAGGACTCGATACATGGAGCTTACTTCACAAATGACTTTGAATGGAAGGATTACAGTCCCGCAGTTTTCAGGTTTCTTTTTAATGTTCTTTCAATTGTGTGTTATTTTTCAAGTTAGATCTTCTCGTGTCAAGTTTCTTTGTTCATCTTATTGCAAGTGATTTGGCGTGTGCGCATATATGTCTATAGTATGTATACACATGTCTGTGTTGTTGCTATCTTTTTAAGACTTTGCAAAATATGTAATGAATAGATTGTTTGCAGACGTTTGCTGGAGCTTGACAGTATAATTAGTTATGATGACTACCTGCTTACAGTACGTGGAGATGACACTCTAAGGGAGGTTTCTTTACCAGGACGCTACGGTAGGGTGTATATATTGCCTGGTGACAAACGATTAGTGATTAAAACTCTGCGGAAATCAGAAAAGCAGGTAATCAAATAAACCTCTAGTGTCATGTGCCATTAAGGGATGAAAGGTTACTAGCAAATTTACGAGCCACATATACAAATCTGATTATATACACTTATTGCGAAACAATTCTTCTTCGTGTTTTTACTTTCTGTCGAAGGATTTTGTGTTTCTAAAGATTTCTGTATAAATTTGGAAGTTTTGATGCAAAGTTAATGGAACAAAGGAATTTCCTTTGCTTCTATATATATCTGTTTGTCAGCAGTCTAGGCATTTACTATGTTTACCTTTCCTGGTAGGTGTACCTAGAAATGCTTCCAAACTATTACCGCCATGTTAAGAAGTACGGGGCCTCACTTTTTAAAAGACTCTATGGACTTCATGTTATCAGGCCACCGGGAGGTATCAAGGTACGATCTTCTCAGTAACGCAGAATTAAAGTTTACTTAATTAGATTAAATGCAATATATTGGGTAGAGATAGTGAGCATATACTTTACACATAATATACATATATATGTGAAATGAGAGCTACATATATAGTACTACAAATATCAGCATAGATGATGTGGAAACTGCGTCATCTTTTGGCTTCCATAATGCTACGTCATGGAGGATGGTGTCATGGCACTTTTATATGCAAAGAGCTAACGTAGATGAACAAATTTTATCCTACCAAATCTCCTTTAATTAGGATTTGACATATTCAAGCTCCTTCTAATCAATAGTTACATTGTTTGCAATGAGCAGGTTTACTTTGCAGTTTGCGCAAGTGTAATGCCGTCAGAACTTTGCTTATATAAGTGCTATGATCTCAAGGGCTCTTCAGTTGGTAGAGCCCGCAACAGATCACACGTCCACGACACGGCCATACTTAAGGATCTGGATTTTGATTTTTGCTTTTACCTGGATCCATTAGTCCATGCTCGGCTCTTAGCGTAAGTACCTTTGTCTAATTGTCATTTCTCAGCGCATCAGCGCATAAGCAAACTTTTATGCATAACTCGAATGTCATAAATGGGGGTAAGGCTAGCCGACATTCACTTCTCCCAGACCCTGCGTAAAGCGGGAGCCTTGTGCACTGGGTACTTGAATACGTCATTACTTAAATTAGAAGAAGCTTTGATCTCAAACTCGAATGTCATATCCTATTTTCTTATAACACATCACTCCTAGGCTGTCTGGAGATGTTCTGAATGAGCAGTTGTAGTTGTGTTTAATTGTTGAGGGAATGTTGCCATCGGTGCGATAAAAAACAAACTCTTGTTTTTCACTACTTTTACTTATTGGATGTCTAGAGATCTTGAGAATCATGAAACTTTACTTCTCTGCTATGCATTGCAGCTGCTCTACCAATTATTTGATTTGTATCGCGTTTCTAGACGAAAATTTGAGCCCATAATATTGTTATTTGGCAGGTAGACCACAAACTGATATTGTTTTCTAGCCAAGGTAATTTCTATGGGGACAAAAAGGAGAATGACACTAGTTTGGAGTGTGCATTCACAAACTATTAATTAGGAAATGCATTCTATCACATAATTCTGTTTATTAGTAATTACAAACTCCTAATTATTCATTATATGGATTTCGGCGGGTATCTTACACACAGATTTGATTGTATAGCTTATCCTGTTACGCTTGAATCTCAGAATACAAATTATTACAAGGATGCATGGATATGTTTGCTTCTAGCATATGAATCCCTCGTTTTGCCTTGTTAACACCTTTTGCCTTCGTTTTTGTGTTATAGACAAATCAAGTATGACTGCGAGTTTTTGGAGGCCGAGGGCATCATGGATTATAGTTTATTGCTTGGTATGCGCATAGATACTTCACGTTCACGGGAAGGTGGTTCTCCTCATTAATCGTTTTCTCTCACTTAGTGTGCGTTTCATCAGATGCAGATGAGGAAATTCTTATGAGAATACAACATACACAAATATTTCTGCAGAAAACTAGTCCAAAATTTTCCCGTTATTGTCGTTGTGTCAAATGTAGTGTTAGAATTGCTTATTTTCTTTCATCAATTGAACATATAAACGAACTGTTACGCTTATTAAGTAAGATCCATTCAGGTGTTCAGAAAATGTGTTTGTCCTGATTCTCAAGTCTTTAATTCTGTAATATAAAGGATCCACCTATCCCTTGGCAGGTTCAATTGATAAAAGAAATTCCAGAAGTTTTGATGCCAAAAAGCAAATAGATGATGCTTCTGAAGATGATGAAACCTCATCAGAGTTAACTCTTGCCGATATCTGCGATCTAATTGACAGGTACTATATTGTATGTATTTCCACATTGATATCTGGACTTGAAGATAAAAAGGTTTAGGTTGGTTCTGTTTGGGTTTAAATATAGGATCAAAACGGCCCTGTTAGCATAGAACTGTGGTAGGTTCGGTTTGGCATAAACATGGTTGGAAGTTTGCTAGGGTCACAACTATTATGTCAACTGACTCGTCGAAGAATTATTGCCATCATTGAAGCTCTGCTGGAGAGATAATTCCAGTCATTTCCTAATCCACTTAGTGGGAAAAGGCTTTGTTGTTGTTGCATCGTTTATATTCCACCTAATATTGGCTAAGCCTTGACAAACTAGTATCCGAGCGGTTTGTCTTGGATGCGGAAGAAAGCAAAGGCAGATGGCATGAGACTTCCCAATTCAAATCTTGTCATTCTTGAAAATCTGTAGTAAGTTCCAATTGATTTGGCATTCAGGACGAACCGCTGTACCACTTTGTTACTAATCTGTCAAGGCTTAAACCCTGACTGTAGTAAGTAGTAATGTAAATGAAAGTGCCTTTACAATTGAGGTAAAAGTTTAACGAACAAAACCTAACAAACTCTCAACCATATTTTATTTCCAAATCGTATCTGTTGATCATTATTCTTCGACTCTTGATCATTATTCTTCTGCTGCAGGCCTGGTTTTAAATTTGGCGACAGACTGCCAGCACGCGCTGTCCGAGCCTTCAATAATGGAATGGAGAGTAAATCATATAGGTCCAGCAGATCACATGAATGCTTCAATGTTCTTTTATTCTTTGGAATAATAGACTTTTGTCAGAATTACAATATGAAGAAACGCATTGAGCATGCTTTCAAGGCAATCAAATATGACTCTAAGTCCATCAATACTGTGAACCCCAAAGCCTATTCTTCTCGCTTTCAAGAGTTTCTGAGCGAAGTATTTCTGCCCGAAGAGTCGGATGACTTTGATCACAACTAGCAGGTTCCTTCTGCTCCTTCAAAATCTGACCTTTAAATACAGATTCATGTTACTGTTAGGCTTGAACAAAACAAGAAATGAAAAACTAGGAGAGATTCATGTAAGGCCTGCTCAGGTCGCATTGAGCCATGCTTTCGATTAATGAAGATGGTCTATTTTTGGGGCAGTAACTCAAACGTGACAATCTCTAAAGGCTTAGCTAGGATTAGATTGGATTAATATGTGAAGGTAGAACATGTCACTCATGAAGAAGACTCATTCCTTCTAACCTACGTTATCAACACCTTATAACTGATTTCCTCGAATCCCCTTCAAAATGAAAAATCGTTCACCTTTACCTTCGTTTCTTACTTCGTCAGCACCAATCGAGCTCTAAATATGCAGTGTAACAATGAAGGGTTTCTGTTCTTGACACCATTAGGGATGTCATGAGCATCTTAAGTTTAACATAACTCTAAATAAGTTTCCGACAGGGACTCAGCCACAAAATTTAGTCGAAGAATGCGCTACGTTGATCATTTTAGACAGCCTAGTGAAGAGGAGATGCTTCTGATCAACACCAAGAACACTATTGCTCATGTCAGATATCTCAGAACCCGAAAGTCGCAATTCGTGCATGTTGTAGAAAATATAGATTACTGCATTACTAGGATTGCGAATTAGTGAAGCAATGGTAATGTTTATAAAGATAAAAAAATGAAGATAGTTGCTAAGAGGTAAGTGCATCCCATTGCGTGCACAAGTTGTTCTGAATAGCCGATTCTTGCTGTAACCAATTTCAGAGCATGAGAAGAAAAATTATAAGTGCTTTTTGGGTTGTAAAAACACTTGTGTACCTTTTGGAAAGCATTTTAACATGCTTCAAATAAAGTGTTTTCAGCAAAAACGTTTATGAGTAAAGATGTTAGACGGACTCTAACATATTGAATTATTCGAAACGAACTGGTTTCTATCTGAGAACGTACATGATGAACTGTTATACCAGGCCCAGTTTCCCAATAATGCCTATACAATGCCAGGCCGAACAATTGGCCAAGCTCCAATTGGTATCCTCAAAATCACAGTAAATCCAAATATCCAATCTTGGAAGCACCCAAAAAGTATGAGAAGTACTATGTCAAGGTGCAGGATACGAAAAACAGGAATGAAATTCCCATGTTACTCTACCGTTTGAGGCTTAATCATTGCCCATGTTGGTAACAAAACCAGAAAATGGGATTTTGTATAAGTTCATCAAAAGCAAAGCCCCCCCTTTGGACCACGTCCTGTCTAGAACAATACCAAACCACACAAGTGGTCCAATCGTTATTTTTTGTGGTCCTGTTGTGGAGTTCAGTTGGTATGAAAGCTCTTGATGAAAAGGAGATGCGGTAGATTTAATATGGTAGTTGGCTCAGTAGCAAGGGTGCGCATTAAGTCGAACAATGCCAATAATAATGAGCAATTTAATTTGATTTTGATTATTAGAAAGATAAATAGTTTTAAAAAATGACACTAAGGATTTAGATTTAGAAAAAGTGATTTGCTTTGGGTCGTTTTCATCCCAACGAATTTAGTTAGAATTCTAATTAGTTGGTTCTATTGTAATTTTAAGTGTCAAACATATTCAAATTCGATCGCGTTCACCCTTACTTAACCGTTAAAACATCAATCTTTTAGATAAAGTATGGTTATCTGACAATTGAATTGACTCTAAACCTCGAATTTCCATTCAACAAGCAAAGATTCGAGTAGAGGAAAAGAAAAGGTAGGAAAAAGAAATCCAAAAATCAGAACCAAACCACATATGGGAGATGACACACTTGTTGCCTGCAGACAAAAAGCACATAGACAAGACAACAGAGGAATAAAGACGCAACAGCCTATGGCAATAGGCTGTTGCATGATAGGGCAAGGACCACAATTTTGGGCCTTCCTTCTTCTGACTGACTGGTCCAGTGGTCCTGGTGTTTCGGCTTCAGCTGTGGTTCGTCTCTGTCAGAAAGCTCCAGATTGACATGTGTGGACAATCATGCTTCTCAAGTGACTAATTGAACATACTGATTAAATTGGCTTAAGACAACAAACAGGTGACCTTCCTTGGACAAGGATTGTCTGCCCTCCCACTTTCCCTACCCTTCTATTTTGTATGATTAGGTTAAGTCACATTAATATTTTATATTATTTTTTTTATAAAAATAATAAGACAAAAATGAATAGTAATATAAAATGTTGACGTGACTTAACCGTGACCATACAAAACAGGAGGGCACGGAAGGGCAAAGGAAGTGGGAGGGCAGACAGTCCTTGTCCACCTTCCTTGGCCTAGGATTCCATTCCTGACTCTAAATTGTCCTTAATGGGGTTGGTTGGTTAAATATCAAACTTCTGCAGCTTCTACTAGTCTTCGAGAAAAGTATATCTGTATCGTATGAATCTTTTTCTATATCATATGAGTAATTTTGCGATTAGAAAGATAGAGATTCGTATGGTAAATCAGATCAGATATGTAGAAAGCTATGATTAATATTTGTATTTATAGATGTAGGGCGCATGAAAGCAGAAAAGGCCAATTTCATCATGTGAATATCTTGTCATTTCTCTCTTTGAAGGGTCAAGATCTTCCGCTATCTCCTCATGTGAGTGTAAAGTTTGAAAAATGGACAAACAATATCATTGTAGGCTTTGATCTTGCTCCACAACTGTCCACAAGATAAAGAATATGATGTTTATGGGAGATAATTTTTAATTTATGATGGGTTGAGCGCACTATATAATACAATGACATTTTAGTTTCAGTAATATGCATCACGCTCAATTCTTTGTACATGTTAACTATTACAAAATGCACTTCTAGAATGTCGAAATTCATTCTATAAAACCTAAAATGTTTACCGAAAAATTGTAGTTGACACGTGTAATTAATGTACTAAGCTTGAAGTCATAGGATTGAATTTTAAGTTATGAAGGTCAAATAGTACTAAGCTTGAAGTCATAGGATTGAATTTTAAGTTACGAAGGTTAAAAACCACTACTTTACTCTCTGAAGCTTAAAATTCGTTCTACTTTATCGCATTTCCTTTTCTTCTATCAAACAACTGTTAAAGTTGCAAACGTGGTGGGTAAAATGTAATATCATAAGCTTATTTTTTAGCTACATCTCATGAAACTCGATCTTGTTCCCACTTTGCTCCTGGAACTCGATTTTGATCTCACTTTACCCCCTAAAACTCAAAAGTTGTCATTTTATAAATATCATCTCTGCTATGAATTTGATTATAAATCTTTACTATGTGTTAACTTCTAACAGTTAGAAAATATTAAGTTTAGAAGAAGAAATTAAGGATTAATTTTTTTTTTGGTTTGCAGAGATCTGGAAAAAAAATAAAAAATAAATTGATTAGGCTGGTGCATCCAAATCAGGCCCACATAATAGAATTTGCTTTAATTCTACAAATAGCAAATCAATCTTGGAAAAAGTGTGAGGAAGAAGTTCAAACTAGTTTGAGTATGCATACTCAAGCTGCTTTGAATCTTGTTTTTTTTTTTTTTGGAACTTTAACGAAAAACTTCATATACTGTTTACTTTAATGAAAAATTACATTTTTACACTAAAAAGTCAATCCTGATACTATTCACTTTACCTTTTATTTTGTCCTTATCGTTAAAACTCAAAGTTTTCAAGTCATTTTCATTAGTTTTTTTCTTTTCACATATCCACATCAGCACATTTGATGGATTTTGAATTGAATTAACATAATTAAGGCAATGTGGTGCGAATTTTGAGTTTCACAAATTAAATGACGAGTTTTGAGTTTCAGAGGCCAAAGTGAGATCAAAAGCGAGTTCCAGAGTGCAAAGTGGTATAAAAATAAAGGAAAACTAATGAAAATGGCTTGAAAAATTTGAGTTTTAACGCTAAGTACAAAATAAGGGGTAAAGTGTATAGTACCCGGATTGACTTTTTAGTGTAAAAATGTGATTTTTCATTAAAGTGAACAATACAGGAGCTTTTCTTTAAAGTTCCCTAAAAATAAAGTGAATTTGACAAAAGAAAGATAAATATGGAAAAGTGAAGCGAATTTTGTATTTTAAGAAATAAAGTGATAGTTTTGAATTATATGAAGCAAAGTGAAATCAAAATCAGCTAAGAAAAAAAGAAAACACATTCAAGCGGTAAAAATTTACACATAAAGGAAAAATAAAACATACTCTTGTTCTTTTTTTATTTATTTATTTAGAGTACATCAACATATTTACATTAGGAGAATGGGGAGTTCGGCTAAGTTTTTTTTTTTAATACATTGATATTTTTACACTAGGAGAAAGGGAGTTCGACTAAGCCACCAAATGAACAATCTAATTTGATATTGAATTCGCTATCTAAAAGATTCGAACCTAAAATCTCTTACTTTTAAATAAAAAGTAATACCAGTGGACTATAGTAGTGTTAGACTATTCTTGTTCGTTTTAACTTAAAAGGAGGAAAAAAAGCAAGAACAGATGACTGTGAGGAGCTAAGTGGGCCCAATTTTTGGAGGTCACTGTCCCAATTCCTTTGGCATATTATGGTTGAGGTGGATAACTTCGGGTAAATCTGGGGACAAAAAAATAGGAAATATAAAAAATTACTGCTCAAATAAAAAAATAGAGAAATAGATTCCAAAAGAGAGCAGGACAACCTCGACTCTGTAGCTTTTGAAGAAAACGAGAGTGAAAGAAGCAACCTTGTAATCTTGAATCTCCAAAAAAAAAAAAGCAGAAAACAAAAACAAACACAAAAACGTGGGTCAGCAAGAAAGCACAGGTTGAAATTTGAATTTAGAGAGAGAGAGATGGAGAGAGAGGAAAAAGGTGCGGAAAGTGAAAGGAAAAAGGAAGGGGGAGTGATGGTGAAAAAGTTGAAACGGGTTGTGTTGGTGAGGAAAAGAGGAGGGCTTTCCTCCAGTACGCCACCACCCATTTGGAGGCTCGACGATTTCTCTTCTCAGAGTCGCAGAAAATCCACCTCAGAATTCCTC